AAGACTCATTCATTCATTCATTCATTTGTTCATTCACTTGTTCATTCACTCACTCACTCACTCTCACTCACTCATTCATGGTTTCTGAAATAAAAAATTATATAAAGGTTCATCTGCAACTGTTAATTCTGCCTACAGTGCAGAATATCATGGTTTATTTCATGTTCATAAATTACCTTCAATTAATTCTCTCATACCTCCTTCAATAAAGTTATCAATATTAGCAGGAAATGGGACTGAAAATAATTTGGGATTTAAGTTAAGAAGAAAAAAGTTTTCAATTGAAACTTTTCATTTGCCACCTGAAGGTGGAATTAATGAAAGACGTACTGACTCTAAAGAAAAAAATGCAGTCATAAAGTCAAGTGAAAAAATTGGTTGTGGAACAGGGAAAAATGATCCTTATGATTTTTAATAATAATAATAAAAAATTAATAAAATGATACGCCTTTAAAAATAAAAATAGATATGCTAATTGATTAAATGTACATTGGATTTATGTCTATGATTATGATACAAAATGAACATTAAATGAAAACGTATAAACATGAGAAAAATTGTTCATTAAATACAAATGTCAATTTCTCAATTCAATCCATTAACAATAAATATTAAAGCAATATAATAAAAAAATAAAAAAAAATCCGAAAATGTCAATTAGCCTCTTCCCCACCAGGAATCAAACATTGAACTGCTTCCAATAGAAGTTCTAGCTGTCTTTTTTAAGAAACTTCCCATGCTTCCTACGCCATCAACAACTCCACCAACCATGCCAGACATCGATCCGACAGATACAATTGAAACAGGACGTGAAATAGAAGGTCGTTGTTCATCGATTGAAGCATTGTATTGACTTGGAGTTCGTGGTGTTTGTGACAGAGCTGAATAATGAGGTTCATCGAAGTTAGCCCGTGCTTGACGAAGTTCTTCAAGAGCCTAATAGATAATAAAAAATAAATATATAATAATAAATGGTAAAATTCACAAACTATCTAAATGGATAATAATAAAGTTAACTTTAACCTTTTCATAAAATTGAATTTGTCCATCCAGATATTGTTTAGTATTCTCTTGAAAATCTTGAACACGTTCATCATGAATTCTATTTACTTCAGAAAGAGTTACATTGAATACAGTATCACAACGTGATCTTATGGCTTCAATGTCTGTGTCCTTATTTTTTAAGAAAATTCAAATTAAAATGATATAATGATATATTGAAATATATTGATAGGCAAAAGACAATATTTTAAAATATTTACCTCTGATTGATCTTGACTTATATCTTCATCAGAGACATCTTTGTATTTTTTATATGCTCCTGCATGCATATCAATTAGTTGCTAAAGAATAAAAAAATTTGAATAAAGGCCTTAATAATAAACAGTTATATATATATAATAATAAACATACTTTTAATAATTAAAATAATTGTTAAATACCTCGCAATTAGTAGCTGGTTGATTATACTCTTTGAAATTTTCAATCCAAGGAATAATAACTTCTTTTTTCTAAAATAAGATTAAATGATTTGTCATATTATTGTGATGAAATATAATATGAAATAAGTTAATATGAATTAGAATATTTTATTTATTCTCCTACATACGTGAGAATCATACATGTCCGCTATCACTTGCATACTTTCGGCGGTGGATTGAATTGCTTTAGTAAGACTTAAACAAACTGTTACAGATAAAAAAAAAAAAAAAGACAAAAGTGAGGTGATCAATCATATTGATAAATATTTATTAAATATTCATTTGATTACTACTTTTTCAAAACTTACCATTACATCCATCCCTCCAACACCAAGCTCCTTCATCGTTTATACATTCACAATCTTCTCCAGCATCATAACCAGTAATTAATTTAAGCAATGCATAACTTACTCGACGATATTGATTTTGCATTTCGTTTAAAGAATCCTTATGTGCTTGAGATGCTTCATTTATCCATGGCATTGATTTTTCCATTGCCCGAGCATGAGCCGCGAATCGCTCAATAATTTCAACATCCCTGAATAAATTAATTAAAATAAAAGTAAATACTATAATCATATTTATGTATATATCAAGATCTAAAGTTTTTTACCCATCATCTACATTAAATTCTGGGTG